ACATTTCTGGCAAGGTAAGACTTGGTACTTAAGCAGTCTTCATGACTCACCTCTCTTACCTGGGACTTGCCTAAGTGTGAATCTTGTATACCTTTCACACAAAGAAAACTTTTAAAAACAAAGATGTCTTGTTATAATTCATATAGGTCTTCTAGGTTAGATAATGTTGATGAAATGTTTAAACAAGCTAGGAATCTTCCATCCTTTGGTAAAGACATAGGTGCATTAACATACCTAGCTTGGGAAAAAGAAATTGATAAAATAAATCCTTGGTTTTATGAAGAGAGTGAATATTATGTCCTTAGCATATATCTCTCTAAGTTAGAAAAGCATGCAAGTGAGTGTGGGATGAAAGACAATATCATGTTAGGAAAGGTAGAAAGTCTTCCATACGTGATTGGCATGATTTAAAGCTTGCATGAGAAGAAAGTTTGTGCCTTCAAGTATTAAAAGAAACCTGGAACTAATTAGGGATTGCATTGATGATGGAAAATTATTTCTTGAGAGTTTAAATGATCATGGGTTTCTTCGTAGAGAATTAGAGTTTGGGGCAAGACTTAAAGAGCTTAAGAATAAGAAAAGAGAAAGAGAGATTGAGAGAAAAGAAGAGGAAGAAAGGAAAGAAGAAGAGAAGAGGGAGAGAAGAAAACGACAAAAGAGAAGAGAGAAGAAGAGAGGAATTAAGAAGAGAAGAAGAGAGAAGGAGAAGAGAAGAGAAAAGAAAAGAAGAAGAAAGAAAAGAGAAAGAGAGTAAAGAAGAAAAGAGAGAAAGGCAAGAAAGAGAGAAGAAAGAAAAGGAGAAATTGTTGCTAATGACAAATTTTATTCTTTCCAAGACTATGGAACCTAAAAGGGAAGGTTTCCAAATCTTTACTTCTTTTTCAATCATGGTTTATTCTTCAAATATGGACTTCTCTTTCAAACCAATTGTCATTATATATTCTATGAAAAAATTATCAAAATATGACAATTCAAATCTTGAGTTATTGTTATCTTTAAGAAAACAATTAACTCAAGACAAAATTGAATTTGGACTTCTAAAATTTTTAAAGATTACAAATCAAAGTATTAGAAGTTCTTATTCTCTTGTTTTTAAAGAAAAATTCTTTCCTGGATTGATATTAACTGAAGATATATTTGATGTGTATTGCAGATTCGTGTTTGATCCAGGAGGAAGAAAAGTATATCTAAAGGAATAACGCCACTTCATGGCTCTGCTCCCAAGATTGTGTGGAGCTTCTTCATAAGGCGATTGCCAGATTTGAGGACAAATAATTTTTTAAGAGGGAGGGTATGATGGAATCCTGCCTGATGTGTTTCTCAATGTCCTTTTTTTGTAGTTTTTCATATTTTATTGTGCACGTATTTTAGCTTGTAAAGAGCATGGGTTACTGTAAATACCCAACTCCTCTCTTGTATTGGTACTTTTGAGCTTAATGATATGCTGCAGAATTTGTTTTCCAGCTTTTGTGCTCTTAAGTCACCTTTGATTTACTACTTCTTCTCCTTTCCTCAAGCTTCCTTCCTCTATAGGAAGGCCCTCTGAGCTGCGAGGCTTCACCCATACACCTTTCCTCCATTAACACACCTCAAACACTGCATCATTTCCTCAATCCGCTACACCATCATTTACTACTGGTTTCTTCTGGTCTAGAGCCTTTGTCTGCACGCTTCCAGCTTGGATTAGTTTACATCACAGTGGCACACAGCAACAGCTGATAGTGAATGGCAGCAAAAACTATGCCAAAGATGATAGAGACAAACAAAGCAAGATCAACCCGCTATGATGCGAACTTAAGATTAAAAAAGGGAATACATTTTTAAGGGCTTAAGAGACCCCTCTCATAACCTTTTATTTATAATGAAAAAACTGATTCAAGAGTACATGAAAGATTAAGAGACTTCACTAGACACCTAGGTACAAAACTAGGTACGACTATAGGTGTCAGGCCTCGAAAAACGTGCGTCCACGTGGCGTCCACGTGGCAGTAGGAGAGCACGCCACCTCATCAGTAAACATGGCCGACAAACAGTGCCCGACACCCACTGACAAACGCCAGCTGTAGTGGAGAACAGTGTGTCAGCCAGACTGAACGTGCGTCCGCGGTGGTGGAAGACGCGTGGCAACAGTGCAGTGGTCGACCGTCCGGCGTGGGCTGTCATAGGCGTAGTGGAGTGCGCAGGCAGAGTGCAGACGTGCGCTGGCGGGATGGAGTGCGCTGGTGGTGTGCGAACGTGCACTGGCAAGTGGGAATTCTGAACTTATTCCCCACTTCCCCTGCATGTCCCTCTCTTTACTCCATTTCTGAGAAACCTAAGTTCTCTCCTCCTTCTCTCTACACTCTTGCACCCTTCCCTCTCTAAGGAACCACCACTGCACCTCCTCCGATCTGTATCTCCGGTGCAGCTGAAGGACGCTCAACGTAGGACTCCAGAAGGACGGTCGGTTCGTGAAAACTGAACGGGTAAGTCCTTTCCTTCCTCTCTGACGTTCGTTTTCATGCATGCAAGTTGTACGTTCGTCTTTTCCTCAAAATGGGTAGTTCTGATTTTAGTTTTTGGCGTTCGTTCGTATAGTGAATTAACGAGCATTGGCAAGTTGAGTCTCTGTGGAGAGCGTCTGTGTGCGTCTGTGAACGTTCGTTCATTTCCGGGTAAGCGAAGCTTATTTAATTTAACTGGTTTGATGTATGCTATGTGAACGTTCGTTATTTGGCTGCATGAAAGTAATGCATGATGTATGAATGATGGTATGAAGGTTCGTTATTTTGATTGTATGAAGTTGTTATGCTTGATTTATGTTCAACGTTCGTTTTTATGGAATGAGAACGATATATGACTGAGTTACATATTATGCATGAGATGTTGGATAAAATAAAATATATGAAATTTGAGAGTTTGGGTTGATATGAACGAATGAGATGATATGATTGTATGAGAAATGAACCTTCCATGAGACGTTGTATGTTCGTTCTGGACGGTCATTTGACTAAATCTGTGGTTGAGGACGAACGTCCTCACTGTTTGAGCGTTCAGTTTGGCACTGTAGAAATCTTGTACGTTTGATAAACTTCTCTCTTTTTGTACTTGTATATATATATATGTAGCAGTGCATATTCCCGTTCGTATTACTTCTCCAAAAATTCTCTTAGTTTATTTTCAAGATTTATCAATCTGAGTTACTGGACGTTCGGTCTTACACCTGACGTTCGCCCAGAATAGCGTTCGGTCTTACACCGGACGATCGTACTGGAAGGCGTTCGGTCTTACACTGGACGTACGCTCAATGTGTCGTTCGGTTTCATACCGAGCGTTCGTTATAAATGAGGCTCGGCCTTAGAATGGGCGTCCGCCTGAAATAGTGCTCGGTATCACACTGAGCGTTCGTCCTAATAGTGCTCGGTATCACACTGAGCGTTCATCCTAATAGTGCTCGGTCTCCAACTGAGCGTTCGTCCTAATAGTGCTCGGTATCACACTGAGCGTTCGTCCTAATAGTGCTCGGTCTCCAACTGAGCGTTCGTCCTAATAGTGCTCGGTCTCCAACTGAGCGTTTGTCCTAATAGTGCTCGGTCTCCAACTGAGCGTTCGTCCTAATAGTGCTCGGTCTCTAACTGAGCGTTCGTCCTAATAGTGCTCGGTTTTGAATTGAGCGTTCGTCCTAATAGTGCTCGGTTTTGAATTGAGCGCTCGTTCTCTTTTCCCACCAAATAGCGTTCGTCCAATGAACAGTACCATACTTGGCCATTTCCTGAACGTAGCTGTTTTTCTGCCGTTCGTACTTTAATACGAACGAGCGTTCTCTTGGTCTCGTTCACTGCGTTCGTTCTCGGTCTCCTTGGGATAGGACGTTCGGTGCATGATATTAATGAACAGTACATGATGAACAGTAAATGATGATGAATAGTAAATGATGAAGAGATGAATGGAAAATTGTGACGTTTGAAAGAGCGTTCCGAGGAGGAACGACTCAGAACTTGATTATTAAGATTTGTAATGTATGAATGTGGTAAGCTTATCCGGTTGTTCATCCTGATGTTCCGTGAGTACTCGTCCTCACGTAGAGGGGGTACGTCATGTGTGGGAACGGAGAGAGGTCCTAGTCCTGGTGATTATTTGGACAGATAGGACTAACCTCGGGTGGCAGCTGATGAGAGTTCCAGTTACTACATCACCCGGGTGCACGAACACCGAAGCTACACAGAATTCATACAGTCCGGACAGTCAGTCGTGTTGAGTTTTATTTTGTACGTGCGTTAAATTATGTGATGTATGATGAATGCATACGTTGATATGTATGTGTGAAATGAACTGTTTACTGGAATTTATATGTTGATGCATGAGTTAAATTACGTAAGCTTACCCTTTCGTTTTCCTTGTGTTGTCCTTTGTTCTTGTACGTCCTTCTTGTCATTGCAATGATCATCTGTGTGGATGTGAGCAGAGGGAGATGATCGTTTGGAAGAGTTGCTGGAAGAAGAGAATCTGGTAGATGTGGAAGTGAAGACCGATCAGTGAGACCGCTCGGCCAGTAGTGTATTTTGTTGAACTGAGTGGTCGTTCGACCACCTCTTGCTTTCGTTTAAGTTTAAATTCGACCGTTCGGTAATTATTTCTGTAAACCGTTCGGTCAGCTTTCTTATACGTTCGGTTTATTCACTTGTAACTCTTGTGTAGATGTGCGGTTTTAAGCGCTCGTCATTATTGTTGAAGTTGCACTCAAGGACGTTCGTCCTTGAGCGTTCGTTTGTTTCAAATTTTAAACTTTTAGTGTAAAACTGTTTGAGATTATTATTAAATGTGATTTTCTAAATTTATAGTTATGACTGTGTTTTTGGGATGTTACAGTAGTGGTATCAGAGCAGTTTTGTTCTTTTAAGGACATTGTAGGTTGTGAGTGCACCATGCATGTTTTCCTGTGTGCTCGACATTCGTCTATTGAGTAATATAGACTCTTTGAACTTATCTAACGATCATTTCCTCTACTTTCCAGAGAACCAATGGCACCTAGACTTCCTCCTCCTCCTCCACCACAAACCAATGAACATGATGTGCCCAACAACACGAGGCTGTTTGAATCTGTGATCGAGAAGCTACAAGAACAGAATGCTGTTCTGATGCAGCAGAACGCGACTAATTCACAAAATCTCGAAGCTGCTCGCGCCAATTCTGAAATGACTCAGAGGCAACTAATGGAAATTCTTGCAGCTACTAGGGGTACGCCGGGAGCATCTGCTTCAAATGCTACTCATCAAGCTGAGTGGACTTTGGAGAGCTTTTTGCAGCATCGCCCTACAAAGTTTGATGGGAAGTGCCCTCCTGACGGAGCTGATCAGTGGATAAGGGACATGGAACAGATCTATGATGCCAAGGAATGTCCGAACGATAGAAGACTGGCATTCACTGAGTATTTATTGACTAGGGAGGCCAGTCATTGGTGGTCGACTGCGAAGATGTTGCTAACAGAATCTCACAGCCCTATTTCCTGGAAAGTCTTCAAGGATAAGTTTTATGAGGAGTATTTTCCGGATAGTGTTCGTTTCGGCAAAGAAGTGGAATTTCTCCAGTTGGTGCAAGGTAATATGTCTGTTTCTGAGTACACCAACAGGTTCAAACATCTGGTTCGTTTTCATACCCTGGCGACCAGTGAAGTGTGGCAGTGTAGGAAGTTTGAAAATGGGCTGAGAAGTGATCTGAAGGTACTGATATCCAGCCTGTGCATTAAGTCTTTTCCTGCCATAATTGAGAGAGCAAAAGTGTTAGAGAAAAATGTGGCTGAAGCAGAACGACAGAAGAAGCAACAACAGGCAACTAGAGGGCCGATCATGTCCAGGCCGAATCTGAATCGAAACAGGTTGCCGTATGCTCGTCCAGCACAACCATCAAATTCTCAGGCTATGGTTGTTGCCGGACAGTCTGGACAGCATGGATCAGTCAGATGTTTTAAGTGTGGAGGACCACACTACCAATCGTCGTGTCCTCTGTTGGAGGGAGCAAAATACTGCACTCGCTGTAGAAGAAACGGTCACATGGAGCACGAGTGTAATATGGGCGGACGAGCAGTAATGAGGCCACCAAATGCCGGAAGGATGCAACAGAATCGGGGTGGAAGAGCACAAGCAGTTGGTCGTGTTTATGCGATAACGGGCACGGAAGCTGCCAGTTCAGGTACTCTCGTCACTGGTACTTGCTTATTACATGGAATGCTTGTTTGTGTGTTGTATGATTCGGGGGCAACACACTCCTTCATTTCGAAGGCGTGTGTTGAGAAATTGGGATTAGCCGAATGCGAGATGCAGTTCGACTTGGTAGTATCAACCCCAGCAGCGGGTGAGGTTAGGACGTCTACTGTATGTGTTAAATGTCCTATAGAGGTTGAAGGACGTAATTATAAGGTAAACCTCATCTGCCTACCCCTAAAGGATTTGGAAGTGATCCTAGGAATGGATTGGTTGGCTGCCAATCGCATTCTCATTGATTGTGGTGCTAAGGAATTGGTGTTTCCGGACGAGTACGAAGTAGAGCTATCAGTAACGCTCGGTCAGCTAAAGGAAGACATCGTGGATGGTGCTAGTTGTTTTCTGATCATGACGCATTCGGACGAACGACTTGAAGGTTTGAATCATGAGCGATCGTCCAGTAAGTCGAGTGGAGAACGATCAGTCGTGGATGAATTCCCTGATGTATTTCCTGATGAAGTGCCTGGATTACCTCCTCCGCGTGAGATGGAATTTACTATCGACCTAGTGTCGAATGCTGGACCCATCTCTATTGCACCTTATCGGATGTCGCCAGCAGAATTAGCGGAACTCAAGGAACAGATAAAAGAGTTAATGGATAAGCAGTTTATCAGACCAAGCGCATCACCTTGGGGAGCACCTGTACTCTTAGTGGAAGAAGAAGGTATGGCAGGTTCTCGTCTCTGCATTGATACAGGCAGTTAACAAGCTGACTATCAAGAACAAGTATCCTTTTGCCTCGGATTGACGACCTACTGGATCAATTACATGGCGCGACCAATTTTTCGAAGATTGATTTACGGTCGGGATACCATCAGATCGGGTGAAGGAAGAAGACATCCGAAGACAGCCATCCGATCTCGTTTGGACACTACGAGTATGTAGTGATGCACTTCGGTGTGACAAACGCCCCGCATATATTTATGGACTACATGAATCGTATCTTCAGCCGTATCTAGACAAGTTTTTGGTGGTATTCATTGATGATATTTTGTCCTACTCCAACGAGTCTATGAAGAAACATGAGGGCATTTGAGGACTGTTCTGGGCGTACTAAAAGAGAAAAGGAGTTGTACGCCAAGTTCTCTAAATGTGAATTTTGATGAAGGAAGTGCAGTTCTTGGGACAATAGTTTCAGTGGACGGAATATCAGTAGATCCGGCAAAAGTAAGAGCAGTATTGGAGTGGGAGAGTCCACGTTCGGTAACTGAAGTTCGTAGCTTTGTGGGACTCGCGGGCTACTATAGCGGTTCATGAAGGGTTTTCCAAGATAGTAGCTCCGTTGACTCAGCTGACCAGAAAGATCAACGCTTCGCTTGGTACGATCGTTTTGAAGGGAAGTTTCCAGGAATGAAGAAATAAGTTAACGAGCCCCCGGTATTGGTCATTCCTGACGTGGCTAAACCATTCGTTGTGTATTGTGACGCGTCTCATCAGGGTTTGGGTTGTGTACTTATGCAAGAAAAGAAGGGTGGTGCGTGGCTTCTGCGGCAACTGAAGGTTCACGAGAAGAATTATCGGCAACGCTCACGTACCTGGAATTAGCAGCAGTGTCTTGTGCTTGTTGAAATCTGGAGACATACTACTTGTATGGTCACACAAGTTCCAAGTATTCGTGATCACAAGAGTCTCAAGTACCCTGTTTGATCAGAAAGGAGTGAATAATGAGCAGAAAAGACGTTGGCTGGAGTTCTTAACGGTGGGGACTACGACTTTGAACTTACTCTACCATGCCGGGGGTGAAAAGCAGAATGTGGTAGCAGATGCTTTAAAAGCAGAAAAGTAGTTCACGTCTCCTCCATGATGGTCCCGAGAGTTGAGTTTGGTAAAAGTTTTAGAGATCTAAGGTTTACAGTTTGACTTGCAACCGAATGTTATCAAATGCTGTACTCTTAGAATCCTAGTGACGTATCGACCGAATCAGAGTGAAGCAGCGAGAAGATGAAGAGTTGGTGAAGATCTGTAAGCGTACTCGGTACAGATCAAGCAAAACACTTTAACACTGGAACTGATGGGTGAATGTTACGCTACATGGATAGAACGTGCATCCGAATGATGACGAGTTGAAAAGGAATCATTCTTGAGGAAGGACATCACAGCACGTCTTAGCATACACCCTGGTGTGACTAAGATGTATCAAGACCTCAGGAGCTCATTCTGGTGGCCAGGAATGAAGAGTGATGTTGCAAGTTTTTGTGGCATCTTGTTTAAGTGCCAACGAGCCAAGGCTGAACATCAGAGTGCCTGGCGGTCTATCTTCAGCAGTTAGAGATTCCAGAATGGAAGTGGGACAGCATTGCGATGGATTTCGTGACTCACTTACCTCGAACGTCAGGAATCATGATTCTGTATGGGTATTGTGGATCGACTGACGAAGAGTGTCATTTCCTAGCAGTCAATCTGAAGATGTCAATGACGACCTGGCTAAGCTTATATCCAAGAAATTGTTCGCCTACATGGAGTTCCACCAAAACATTGTTTCACATCACAACCGAACCGAGACCGAGGTTTTACTTCTCTCTTGGTTTTGCGATCATTACCAAGTGAGCTTCAGTAGTAAACTTCAAATGAGTTCGGCCTATCATCCTCAGACAGACGGTCAGTCCGAGAGAACCATTCAGACGCTTGAAGAACTTATGAGGCGTTGTCCTAGATCACATGGCGTCTGGGTGAAGTCTTGCCTTTAGTGGGTTCACAATACAACAACAGTTTCAAGCAGTATGGAATGGCTCCTTTTTGAAGCTCTATATGGGAAGGAAATGCCGAACGCCTTTGTGTTGGTTCCAAGAAGGGGAAAAGGTGTTAAACAGGACCAGAGCTCATCAGCCAGACCGACTGAGAAAGTGAAGCTGATTCAAGAAAGGTTGAAGACGTCCAGGAGTCGACAGAAATCTTATGCTGACAAGAGGAAAGAACCCTTGGAGTTCGTGCAGGAATCATGTCTTCCTTAGACTACATCCGACACATTGGTGTAGGGAGAGCTATCGACCAAGAAGTTGTCTCCCAAGTTTATCGGACCTTATCAGATCTTGAGGAAGATTGGACCAGTTGCATACGAGTTGTCCTTGTCCGCCTCATTATCCAAACTTGCCATCCAGTCTTTCATGTTTCTCAACTTCGGAGTATGTAGCCGACTGATAACAGTTGAAAAACTGTTATTTTCATGCTAAAATTGATACTAAAAGCAACCTTTAGACTTAGAACTAGCTTGAAATCATGCCTTTATCTATATTTTTTTCATAAATAAGAGAGCTGAACAGGTTTATGCTTGATTTCAGTGTTTTGTGCAGTTTTTAAGGTGAATTTAGTGAAAGAAGTGAAGAAGGGAGAGATAGAATCAGAAAAGGAATCAAAGAGTGCAAAAAGAAGAAGTCGAAGTCACCGCTCAGTCGGCATTTTACCGCTGAGCGGCACTCAGAGGTTGCGGGAGGTCCCGCTGAGGGGCAAAATGGCCGCTGAGGGGAGAAAACGAGACGCGCAATCACACACCGCTGAAGTCGGCACTTTATGGGCTTGGGCTTTTGATTCTTTGTATTTTAAGTAGTATAATAGCTTTAGGATGTCCTAGGGTTTGTATCTTTGGCAGAAACAAGCAAACCTCTCTCTTCCACCCCTTTGAAGGAGGATCTTGGATGCTCAGGCTACCTCCCCTTTATTTTGGGTTTATTCTTTCATTCTTTCATTGTTCATCTAGGTTCATCACCATGAATATGGTGAACTAAAACCTTGTATGTTTGTTGGGGATCAATGTAATCTCTTGAAGCTCTCATATTATGGAATTTTATGTTGCATCTTAATCTAAGACTTAATGCTTTCTTCTTTCATCATTAGTTAGGGTTTTTCCTCTTTGCTTAATGCTTGCATTGTTTAACTCATCTATTGCATGATTATTGGTTTTGTCGATACGGACACGTACGGGAAGTCTAGATCCGGGGAATTTCTCCCCATATTATATGGTTGTCGTTAAGCTCCTGCACTTATGAACTAATCATTAGGAATGCTAGAATTGTATGAACTCGTGATTAGGGAGAAGCCATCTATAATGGTACTTTAGAGAGTGGCATTAACAATGATGATTTGAATGTTGAATTCCTAAATGTATGAGAGTGGATGAGATGAAATTGACCCCCAACAACATTCAGTCATATATTCATTGAAAGTGTTTATCTTTTGTCTTTGCCATTGATCAAACTTCATGCATACATATTTAATTTCGTCTCTTGCATATAAAATCCAACTATTTCGTCTTTAAGTCTTAGTTAATCAAGAAACCACACAACTAAACTAGGAGGCCGTGAGTCCTTTGGAAGAACGTACTTGGTCTTACCAAGTTTATTACTTGAACGATTCGGTCATACTTCTTGCCGATTGTGAACAAGTTTGTGACATCATATTTTGGTGCTTACAAAATTTGTCCATCATTGGAGATGCAGCAGGGTAATGAAGATGATCATGGGTATTGGAATCAAGTGTGGAGGTGAGATTGATGATGTTTGGTAATAACGACCATATACAATAATCCAAGGGCAATTCAACAATATTCACATACAAATTTAACAACAATCGGAGATATGTCATGAGCAAGTAAGTAACTCAGTAGAATAAGGAGTGTTAGATATTACTTACCTTCGATTACTATTGCCAACCTTGCGTCTCAATGGGTTTTTTTCTTCTCTTTTGCTGGCCTCTGTCGTTTTCTCCAGGTGAAAAAAAATGGTCATCCGCGATGATGAATGATCCCAGATGAAGGTCCCCCGTGTTCCTCCTCTTTTTTTTCTCTCTGATCCCACCCCCACATTCCCCCTCCTCCAAAATCTTGGAAAATATTCATTCTAACAACCTGTCCCCCCCTCCTCAGACACGCTTTTCTCCCCTGCGCCATTTCTCCACGTTTTTTCTATTTTTTTATTTTTTTTATTTCATTTTATTTTATTATTATTATTTTTTATTTGTATTTTTTTTAAACTTACTTTTTACATTTTTTTTTCAATTTTTTTAATTTCTATTTTGTTCTTACCTCTTTACCCCATTGACTAGACCCTAACCTACGAAACCTTACACTTACGCAACGATCTAATCTCCTATCCACTACGAACTAACACCCCGGTAAACCCTAAACGAAACCCTACCTAAAAACACGCCTAAAAACACACCTTTTTTCCCCCCCGGCCGCACTTACGTGTTTGACACGTTGTCCCTCTTTACTTAGCTCTATTACTACTAATCCTAATTTAATCTTTTCGTATTATTTAAGTAAAGCTAAGTAAAGATAAAGACACTAATTTTGTCCGGGTTTCAATCATGAAGAAAACGAACAAAATAATTCAAGTCACGATGCCAAATGACCAATGTCAAGTAAAGTATCAGTAACAAAAAACTAAAACCTGTGATTTGACCATTTGCCTCGCAGATGGCCAAACCACAGAACATAATTTAAAATCCGACACATTGCCATGCAGAGGGCGATAAACAGAAAATTAAACCTGGAATTGACCATTGCCCTCGCAGAGGTTCAAACTCACAGACACGGAAATTTAAAATCGACCATTGCCATGCAGAGGGTCGATAACCGAAAACTAAAACCTGGATTTGACCATTGCCTCGCAGAGGGGCCAAACCTCACAGAACAGAAATTTAAATTCCGACATTGCCATGCGAGGGCCGATAACAAGAAACTAAAACCTGGATTTGACCCATTGCCTCGC